TCTGACTAGTGGGCTTCATGCAATCCAAGTGCCCACACATGAAACAGTGTGAACACTGCTAAAGAAGTTGGTTTGGGCATGAAAACATTCTTTGAAAAAAATACACCAATGTGTTAAAGGAGGGGATTTCACAACTCCCAGTCTTTTGAGAGATGACAACAACTGCTTAACCCTCTGAGATGATCTCAACTGCCTTGGAGCCTAAGTAACAAGAGCCAAGAGAAGATCACAGAGCTGAAAGGATGAAGTGAATCTGTGATATCTCTAAACTTGCTTCATCTCCGCAACCCCCTGCTGATCTCAAGAACTATGCTCCAGGAGGCAGAGAGGGAAGCATTAGCTACTCCTTCATTCTGGCACCTGGATTTACCTTCAAGTAATTGAAAAGATACTCCGCTGCCACCTGATGCCAGTGAATGGAGTGCAAAATCAGCAAGGAATGCAAGCAGAGCCAAAAAGAAGCAGGCACAGGAAGGGCAAGAGAAAGGCATTGAGGAAAAGAAAACTAATGAGACACACCAGCAAACAATGATCCAGGCTCCCAGCTCTGTGTCTAAACAGCCAACAGGCCTCAGGCAGTAACATCCTTTTATCTTTTTCAAGAAAAAGAGGATTGGATTACTTAAGTCTGTTTCAACTCTAAAACTATGATTTTGGATCTGAAATGGACCTGAGAATTAAACTGAGGGCAAGGAGTGGGGAAATGGCATTTTGGTTCCTGTTTTCCATCTCTACTCAAATTCTTTAATCAGTGTTACTAATGGGTTAGATCAAGAGAAAGGAATGTAGTAAGTTCTAATTTCTCTCAGCCTTGGTGCTGACAGGCCCTATTTCCTGCACCCTGACACCATTCAATCAAGGAAGACCACTATTCCCAACTGCAGAAAAATCCAATGAGATGATAATACAGGACAGGGCGAATCACAAGGAAAAGCCTTTAAATGACCAGGGACAAAGTTGCCTCAGATAAGAGAACTCCTAACAGGGTGGGCAGGGAACTGTTATCTCTTTTCATAGGACCGTGCAGCTAATGACAATCAGTTGTTTTCACACTTTCTACCAGTTACACTACTCCCTCAATTTCTCATATGTACAAAAATATAAAACAATAAAGTGCAGTTTATGTTTCAGTGACACTTTTCCTTGCTTTAATATTTTTAGTCTTTTTCTGCTTCTGAAATGAGCTCTCAATTACAAAATATCAAACTACACTCAAAAATGCCAGCCCTTGGCATAGAATGGAGAAGCCACAAATAAGGACAGACCACGGCAGCATCTTCTCAACTTTATAGTAAGGGAACACAAAGACACAGGTCAATTATATCATATAGGGCCTCTTACTGGCCGTCAGTGGTTAAGTGATTTATTGTTTTTATTTAAACAAGTAGCCACAGTATTAACATAAAATGCAAAGTATGTCTGAATTTAAGATTCAGCTGTCATTTTGTGTTAAGAATGTTCACCTGTATCTGCTTTTGTTATGTAGCTGTATTCCTATTATGTTAATGTATGTGCGCAATTTAATTAGTAGTTTAAAACCTATACATGCTTATGTTACTCTACAAGAAGATATGTCAAAGAAAAAGAAAAAAAAAAAGAATGTTCACCTGTAGGTAAGGGCCTGTTTGCTCGCCAATCACTGAGATTATCTTGGTGAAAAATTTTGAAGCATTGTCCTTGGGTCTGACTTTGAGCCTCAGGAGGCTCTGGTTCAGCTGGGAACACCTGATGTCTGAGGTGCAAGGTCAGATTCCAGGGGAGTGGGTGTGTGGGTCTACCTGCAACATCTGAGGCCCAGATATGGAGTGGGACAGAAGGAAAGGACTCAAACCTGCCTGGGCCATCCCCACTTCATCATAGCTGGGTACCTTGCCAAGCGTTCAGAGGCTGTTTAGCTTCATCCTGGAGCCTCTGACGATAGTGAGAGTGAATGAAACAAGGGAAGCCAGAGGCTAGATGTGAACACCTGATTAACAGAAGCAGCAGTGAGTGGAGTTCTCAGTCCCAGAATGTTGGGGACAATCCTGTTTCAAAACAATACTCTGGAAATTAAGACCATCTGGGTCAAATGAACCCCCAAATTAGCCTTCTCCTCGGGGGCTGCATCAAGAATGGCAGGGCAAAAGCTAAATGAGAAGCTGAGATGGCAAGTTAGGAGCCAACTCGGAAACTTTTCAAGAAACATTCTTGTTGGTAATAACGTTTTTGGGGGCTGGTTGGGATTCTAGGATTAGTGTTTCAGGAGATAGAAATGGGTAACAACGGGGGAGGTGTGATCTTTCCCAAGTGCCACACCAGGTATTAAAATAAACAGGCTCTTGTCTCCTGGAGCTGGGGGTGGCAAGGAAAAGAAAACTGGGTCCAGCAAATCAGAAAAAGCATCAATGCATGAGGTGGGAGTAGGAAAGCTTAAACCTGGGAGTCCTCAACTCTTTGCTGGCATCAGCACTCTGCCTGCAAAGATGCCTGTGTTGGTGGGGCCGACTGTATGGGGACTGTTTAATTGGAGCCTCTGCGAGGTATAGGACTTTCCCTGATGTCCATCTTAATTTTATCTGGCAAAATCCCTGGGAGCCCTAGGGCAGCCAAAAGAGAGGATCTGAGATCCCAGTATTTCCTGGTCACCATTCTGGGGTCAGAAAAGGATCATCCAACCTTGATGCCAGGATTCTTGTTTGCAGAGCCAAGAATGAACTTAGCAAACACCCAAGATAGGAGAGCCAGGGAGAGACTTTTATTGAGAGATAGTGAGAGGACAGAGCTCCTGGCTTGCACCAGGTGGGGACAAGAGAACCTGTAGTGGTGCCATGTCTAGGGGTTTTATAAAGCAGTTGAGGACTTTTGGGAACAGGAAAAAAAGCTTAGGGGTGTGGACTTATTAAGTGGTTCCTTAATATTTATAATTAACACAAGAAACTCCCTGCTCTGATCTCTCCCTGTGATACCAGCGTCTGGGGCTGGGAGCATACCAAACAAGGCTGCCTGCCTGGCCCCCAAGGTGGGCTGAGGTATTGTGTGCTAAAGAGTAAATTAAGAATCTTACTTCTTAACTTCCTAGGTGTTAAAATGCAATCTTATCTTTAAGGTGGAATCCTTCTTGCCTTTTACTATGTTGTTTTGCAGCTGGGTCTGCCTGCTAAATTAGTTGCCCAGTTTGCAAAATCACCTCGTCTGAAGGAGGAAAAACAGCACATAGGCCTGGACCTTTATAATGCTAAAGTGAATCTCACACATGATTACAAATGATTAGCATAATAAAAACATGTGCTACTCTTCTTTATCTGGGGAATATTAACTGATCTCACTGAAGAATAACTCTAGTGCTTAATGTTTAACACAAGAGTTTTGGTAGGGGGTTTCCTTGCATGTAGTTATTTACATTTCTCTGACTGCAAATATCTTGCCTTGCTTTTTCCGGAGGCCCTAACTCTACTCTGACTATACCCACAGTCCCTGTCTCATTTGGACACCCAAGTAACCAAAGCAGCCATTGTTCTGACAACCCAGCTGCTTAGCACTGTGCAAAGCACCTCACCTACACTCACTGTAGTGGTGAGAGGTTCAGGGACTAGTCCAAGGGCATCTTGCTGTTGGCTCCCTCAGCCTCTTTCCCCTACTCCAGAATGTGCGCTCATCAGAATCCAGGGGCTGGGTGTCTATCCTGAAAACAATTAGGTCATGTGCCCCCTGCAACACAATTGCAAGTGACCAAACTTCAATTCCAGGGAAGCCTGCTTTCATGCAGCATTAATCCTGTTCATGTGGGAACATGCAGACCCTGAGTCCAGGACTAAGAGGCTTCTATAAATTAAGAGATTTATGCAATGTCCTGGGTAATAGGAAACTGAGTACCTCTGCTGTGCTCTTTCTGTCCCTGTGCCTTGCTGGCTGGCTGGCTGCCCTGGGGCCCTGTCAGAGGACCTGCCAGTAAAGATGAATTGGCTTCTCTGAACACTCCCTGCCTGCAATGTACTGGACTCTCCCTCAAGTCAGTTTTAACCTCATCTGGCCAAATCCCTGGGAGGGGTGGGGCAGCCAAAAAAAAGGTTCTAACAGCATGGCTATTAAGGCCCAACACTTCCCTGGCCAGCTGTGTTTTGTCCTACAGGGTTATTTCTGGGAACAAAGTACATAACGACAAAGTTCATTATGTGTAAATCAGTTTATTGATGAAGACACAAGGTCAAGCTTCCCACAACCCCCACCCTCCCAAAGAATAGATCCCAACAACAAAAGAATGTAAGCATTCTTAGGGCAACATTTACCACCCCTCTCCTCCCCATCTCTCTCCAGCATCTCAAGCTTTACAACACAGACACACAAACAGTCTCGGGCAAGGGCAGACACTCAGGGCATCTCTGACCAGCAAAAGAGTTCTGGGTGTGTGTGTGCTTCCCTGCCCTTTGTATGACACCAGCTGACTGTTACAAAGACACACTAAGGCAGAAGAGAGGGAATGCAGGGCAATCTACCTCCGTTTCCCAATTAGGCCAAGCTTGACATGAGCCAAAAGGGAAGGCGTGGTGGAGGCAAGAGGTTCTGTCTTCAGGAGAGAGGTCCTTTCCCTGGAGCAGAATGCCTCCCTAACTGATCAAGGGTGCACAGGAGGCAGCCTCCAAAGGAGCAAGGAGTTCACTGGTTGGCTCAAGTCAGCTGAGAACAGGAGCTGCCACCCATCACTGCTGAGGAGGCTGAGAGAAGCCTTGTTTCAGATACAGAGGGACATATCCTGGTACAAAACTGTTCTGTCTGCTTACACTGACACATACTCTTCCTTCTGGAACTACAGTTTGCTTTGAGAACACAGCACTGGTAGTGTGAATCTTCTTCACTGCTTGTACCCGAGTATTTCCCAACAAGGGAGCTTTATCAACTTGCTCTTTCACCCCATCCATGATGACCCATCCACCTCCCTGCACAGGATTCTGTGTTTCTCCTTCCTCTCCACATGCCTGAGGGCTGGTAACACAGGACAATGGTTCCTTTCCCTAAACCCCCTTAATTCTTCTCTTGAGATTCTCAAGGTTTATGAAACTGCTTAGGGGAATACCACTCTCCCAAGTTTTAAAACTGGCATGAATCAGGGTTTTTTCAGACATGATGGGGCTGGGGGTAGTTTCTGCTCCTGTTTTTTTACAATTCCTCCTCTTGGACTTACTCTTAGGTCTGAAAATACCTCTGATTTGACAGAGGCATCTAAGAAGAGCAGTCTTGGTCATGAATTCTGACTAGTGGGCTTCATGCAATCCAAGTGCCCACACATGAAACAGTGTGAACACTGCTAAAGAAGTTGGTTTGGGCATGAAAACATTCTTTGAAAAAAATACACCAATGTGTTAAAGGAGGGGATTTCACAACTCCCAGTCTTTTGAGAGATGACAACAACTGCTTAACCCTCTGAGATGATCTCAACTGCCTTGGAGCCTAAGTAACAAGAGCCAAGAGAAGATCACAGAGCTGAAAGGATGAAGTGAATCTGTGATATCTCTAAACTTGCTTCATCTCCGCAACCCCCTGCTGATCTCAAGAACTATGCTCCAGGAGGCAGAGAGGGAAGCATTAGCTACTCCTTCATTCTGGCACCTGGATTTACCTTCAAGTAATTGAAAAGATACTCCGCTGCCACCTGATGCCAGTGAATGGAGTGCAAAATCAGCAAGGAATGCAAGCAGAGCCAAAAAGAAGCAGGCACAGGAAGGGCAAGAGAAAGGCATTGAGGAAAAGAAAACTAATGAGACACACCAGCAAACAATGATCCAGGCTCCCAGCTCTGTGTCTAAACAGCCAACAGGCCTCAGGCAGTAACATCCTTTTATCTTTTTCAAGAAAAAGAGGATTGGATTACTTAAGTCTGTTTCAACTCTAAAACTATGATTTTGGATCTGAAATGGACCTGAGAATTAAACTGAGGGCAAGGAGTGGGGAAATGGCATTTTGGTTCCTGTTTTCCATCTCTACTCAAATTCTTTAATCAGTGTTACTAATGGGTTAGATCAAGAGAAAGGAATGTAGTAAGTTCTAATTTCTCTCAGCCTTGGTGCTGACAGGCCCTATTTCCTGCACCCTGACACCATTCAATCAAGGAAGACCACTATTCCCAACTGCAGAAAAATCCAATGAGATGATAATACAGGACAGGGCGAATCACAAGGAAAAGCCTTTAAATGACCAGGGACAAAGTTGCCTCAGATAAGAGAACTCCTAACAGGGTGGGCAGGGAACTGTTATCTCTTTTCATAGGACCGTGCAGCTAATGACAATCAGTTGTTTTCACACTTTCTACCAGTTACACTACTCCCTCAATTTCTCATATGTACAAAAATATAAAACAATAAAGTGCAGTTTATGTTTCAGTGACACTTTTCCTTGCTTTAATATTTTTAGTCTTTTTCTGCTTCTGAAATGAGCTCTCAATTACAAAATATCAAACTACACTCAAAAATGCCAGCCGTTGGCATAGAATGGAGAAGCCACAAATAAGGACAGACCACGGCAGCAGGTAGCAAGAGGTGGGAAGTGATTGAAGCAGTGGTTACAAATGTTCACAGGAAGCCCTAACTATCCAACAGGTTGTGCCCTAATGTCAGCACAGGTTAGACTAGTCACTACCTTGGTGGGTGGTCTCAGTGTGTTTGGGTTCAGAGTCTCTAGGCAATACAATTTCTTCCAGTTATGGGTCCTCAGCTTGCACCGATCTCAGGGTGGCCAGAGGGCATCAGACCAGTCCATTAGTTTTTCAAAATGCTGTCGTAGACCTGATAGATGTACTGAGAGACTTCCGGAGCTCTACACTTCAGTGACAGCTGTTAGGAGGAAAAGGAGAAACACAATTAACGTGGAGGTTGGCATTATCTGGAAAGGTCTCCAAGCACTCAGTTCAAGAAAACCTCTTTTGATATAATGGGAGAAGAGCTTCTATCACACAGTAGCCAGAGAGATCCTGTTGATAGGCTTTGGGGGTTTTAGAATTTCAATTTAAATGAGTATCAAGTTGTGCTGTGTTTTCTACATTCTTTGTGGGTCTGTAAGATTATGAAATCATCCATATTAAAAACATCAAAGCTTTTGGCTGTAGGGGAACAGCTGCTCCAGTGCTTTGCTAAGGGTCACAGAGATGGTTACCAAATGAAAAGGGAAGGGCTAAACCCTAACTTGTTGGTGGCCGTTTCAGCTGCCTGCCTCAGTTTCTCAGTTTCACAAGGATAGTTATCTCAGTCCCAATTCTGGGGGATGTACAACCAAGTAAAATAAAAGCACAAGTGAAGTATGTCCAAAGTACTAGTCCTTTCTGTGTTACACTGAGGAAAGTATATGCTGTTATGGGGGGAAAACAACACAAAAAGACATTTAATTAGTACAACCAGGAAGCAATTCATGCCAATGGCTTAACCTTTTATTTTCTGCCTCTTAAGACAGGTAAATCAGATAGTACTGACACCTCTCTACTCTGGTCTGACACCAAATTAAAAATTTAAAAACATTTCAGTGTGGAGATCTTCAAACTGAGATTTTCACTTTGTGAGTCAACAAACACAAAATTTGAATCCAAATTTGGCTTCCTCAATTGTATTAGATTAGCCTAAATATTAACCAAAATATAACACAGAAGCATGCAAACTGCATCCACAACCAGAAAATTTAATATTTGCTTTTTTTATTACTAACATCATTGTTCTTCTCTATTAAGGTAGATCAGCAAAAGTTGTCTCTAATAATATAGCACCATGAGATTTCAGACTGTTTTACCTCTTTATTCTATAATTAGAGACTCTGGATGATTTAACACAATATACAAGGTGAGAATATCTTTGGCAAAAATGTCAAGAGGATATTGGTCAACCCTGAATTTGTTGGAAAAAATTCACATCCTCAAAACTTGATGTCAAATTTAGAAAATGTGAAAAACAAAAACTAACCAAAGCAAAAAACATCAAAAGAGACCTAATTTGTTACTATAGCTTTAATATTTGGTCTCTAAGGCATTTCCAAAATTATTCCTTAACATTATTCAGGAAGATAATTCTGATAAATGTAAAGACCCAAAGAACAATAACCCCCCCAACTAACTTAAGAATATAAATACGCATAAAAGAACTCCCTACTGTGGCCAAAACTGTAGCTACAGGCATTTCTCTGACCTTCAAGCTCCCTAAGAAGGCAGTTCTGTACTTCCTCCTCCACAGCCTCTCCACTGCCAGTGCTGTGGAAAATTCTCGTGGGAGAGTATGTGGGTTTAAAAAAGGAGGAGGAGAGGAAGCTAAAAAGAGTAACAATAGCCTAAGGGAGTTGACTCCCAGACTAAAGAGGGATAGTTTCTCTCCTCCAAAATACTGTCCTGTATTTTTTCACATCTTTGTAACAATACTTGAAGTTCTACTAGTTGGAGGTTCACTTTTTTTGTTCATGACTGATAAGGAAATGTTGCCTTCCTCCACAAAAGCCCCCATCTATCAAGGCTGTCCCTGGAGGAGAGTCATGGATTGATCAGGCCTGGACCTTTTCAGCAACTCTTTGGAGGGCTGGAGGAGAGAAGGAAGAATCTTTCTCCTCTTTTATCTCCCCCTGGCTCCAGGTATCCCAGACTTCTAACAAAGGTATTAGACTTAAGCCCATCCTTTGTTTTCCAACTAGTACACAGCTAAGAGAAGCTAACATGAAAAAAAAAAGAAAAAGATTTTGCTAAATCTTGAAGAAAGCAAAAGGCACATATACATGAAGAACAAAGAAGCTAAATAAGCTGACTTACTATTATAAAGCTAGGGTTCTGGGTCTCATTTTATATCACTCCTAAGGGAAAAGAGGTCTTATTGCGGTTTCAACTTTCGGACCAATGGCCTGCTTATGTGACATTTCTTTAAAGACAACAACTCAGTAATGCCATCCAGCTGGACCCACTGAAGGAAAAGGAGTAACCACCTCTCCTGCCTAAGAAAGCCCAGTATTTACACATCCACTTCTGGTTTATAGTGTGGACCACACACTTCTTCACCTGGGACAAGTTACCTTTCTAGGTGAAATGAAGCTACTTAGGGAGATATGGCCTCATCCTTATAGGATAAAGATGCCTCCTTAATGAAATACAATAAGGACTGGGGTGGGAGAAGTGATTTATCTACCTCTCTCAAGAAACTAAGAGACCTTCAGTCTTCATGCATTAGTACTGGCTCCAGATTTCTTTCTTCCTTAATATCTAGCTGAGATCAGTCCAATATTATAATGGGTATTTAAGATGATGGAGGGAAGGGACTGACTTCAGTGACTTTGAAGTCTAGAGCACCATTTAGGACAATGGCTTAGGCCTGTCTGTGTTAGATGCTGTTATAGAAAATTTAGGTTTTGGGGGCAGAGGGAACCCTGTCACCAGATGGATGAAAAATATGAAAGGGGGAAGGAAGAATAAACGAATTTACCATTTACAAATATAGAGGAGGAAGAGCACGACTACAAAAGAACACCACAAGGACAGGATCTTATTAGATTATTTCTTAAAACTGCAGGTGAATCTACAATTATCTCAAATATCAAATAAAAATTAGAAAAGTATGACAGAGGAAGAAACGTCCTTCAATGGTTGAATGGGTAAAACTCTACATCCACATGGTGGACTACTTACGTGATCATAAAAAAAAATAACAAACTATTGATACACACAATGTGGATGGATGTCAAGGGTATTAAGCTAAGTGAAAAAATCCAATCTCAAAAGGTTAACTGCATGTATTTAATTTATACAATTTATATAACTCTCTCAGAATGACAAAATTATAGTAATGGAGAACATAATCAGTGGTTGGCAGGGGGTTAGGACTGGGGTGTCTAACTCTAAAGGGATAGCAAGAGGGAGTTTTTGCAGGGTGGTGAATGGTTCGGTGTCCTGACTGTGACAGTGGTTATACAAATCTGTATGTGTGACAGGATTTCACAGTACTGTACACTCATCGACCACAAAGAGTAATGTAAAACCTGGCAAAACCTGAATAAGGTCTATAGCTAAGGGTATTGTACCATATCAATTCTGTTTGAAAATGTACTGTAAGTGTCTAAGATGTTATCAGTGGGAAACTGGGTGAAAAGCTACATGAGAACACTACTATTTTAAGAACTTTCTGTGAATTTTAAATTATTTAAAAAAAAATAACTAAAAAATGTACCATTGTTAGGCTAGTGATACTAAGAGGTCTTTCACAAAACTACTTCTACTCTTATAATGAATATGTTCAGAAGTTGTCAAGAGATAATCTAAATTCTAAGCACAACTGAACTTTGAACAAATTACTCGATCTTGAACAAGTCATCAATCATTCTTAATCCTGGTTTCCTTATCTGCAAACTAGGGGTAATCATGCTTCTTTAACCTAGCTGAGATGGAAGACTGTATACAGTAAAACAATGGATGACAAAAAACAACACAACACACACCTTGAGCAAATTTCTAGGGCAATAAATGTAGCTATTTTATAAGACCTTGATTTTACAGTGAAAACTTCCCCCTTCAAGCATGGCACAGAGTTTTCTTCTTAGGGAATTCAAGGTTAATGACAAGGTAGTTTCTTTCCAAGAAAGACAGGGGACTGGTGGTGGAGGAGGTAGGTGGGAGAAGTGTACACTTCAAGGCAGAAGCCTTAAGTTTTCCATCTCACAAAAATCTGGCTTGGTTAAGATTCAGTGGTTCACACACACATTCTCCTCCAATTTAATTCAAGAGAGGGAACTAGTAGGGAAAACATCAAGAATTTTCAGTTTTGGGTGGTACTATTTCCTTGATGTATCATAATGCAAATAGGCTGTTAAAATCAAGGAATAGGGTCACAGACTTTTCTCAACTAAATAGCTAAAAGCTCCCTTAATCTACTGTTCCATTTCCTCAGAAGGTATTCTCCTTATTCTCCTCTGTCATTTTCCTGTTCCCTCCTTCAAAATAACCTGCAAAGACCTTAAACATAACACAGTAAGATATTTCTCTCATCCAATGGTTTTTTACTTTACAAAATGCAGATGACAAGCAACATTCAATTGGGAGATCACATTTTACAACAGCAAGCAAATGCCCAGTTAAACTCTAGGGTACCAATTTTTGTTGTTTGACAAGGCAATTGCTCATGCCCTAAAAATATGGCCAGAATTTCAATTCTAGTCTAGAGTGATACTAAAGGAGATTTTCCAAACTAAAACCCTCCTTTGCAGGCTGCCAAAGGTGTGTCCCATTTGGCTTACCTTTGAGAATAAACAGCTTAAGACATCAATACTGTTAAAAAAGGCTGATGTGTCTATGACACTGATATCCTTAGGTTATGAACTCCAAAAGCAGGAAAGGTGGCCTTCTTGAAATGAGCTATGTACACAACCATCTTGGCAACTTGTTACAGTACCACATATACAGATATGCTAGCTAAGGATTAACTGATATTGATGAAGTTGCCGAATCTAGTAAGCAACTCTGAATATACCAAAGGGAGTCCATGGCTTTCCTGCCAGAGGCACAGTGCCTGCTGGAAGGGGCAGACATTGCAGAGAGGTGTTCCAAGGAGGCAACTGGAGACTTCTTCATTGACTACTTGTTCTAGCTATCTAGGGTCTGAAGCACTTCTTCCAGGTCTTTCTAGAGGGCTGAGAAAAACTGGGCTCTTACCCCCCTCCTTGATTCCATCTCACCCATTTTGAGAAGGGCCTTACCGTGTAATTAGGGTTTCCTGGCTGGATGCGTAACTCAGCCAAAATCCAAATGCCATTAGTGAGCTTCAGGGACTGGTACAGCATGTCCTGCCCTTCCACATTCCTCTTGGCAATAGTATAAACATTGTTGTTTTGCAACTTGCTGGAAACAGTGTCTAGAAACACAGATTCAAAATCCAACACCTTCAGTTAAGATATCAAACAAACGCTTGCTAACTTTCTTCTGACATTCTTACAAGCCATGTGTGCTCAAGACCCCTGACAAACATTGTCACATGCACATGACCACATTCAGAAAGCCCTTTCTCCCACAATAGCTAAGAGTTAGGAAAAGGCTCTGAAGTGCCTACAGATTCCACAGCAGAAAACAGATTAAGGTGCAATTAAGCATTAGTGTGAGAATTACCTGTGGAGATTATGGTGGGTCTAAGGAACTGGTAATCTTAAGCTAGGTAACATGTTTGCAAGAGGACATACAGAGATAGTGTGCATAGTGACTGCCATGTTGGTATTCCTTTCCGGAACGCTGGTCCCATATCCACAGAGATACACAGACTGACGATTAGGTCCACAACATTACTTCCCAAGCTGCAACTTTCTTGTGAGCCACTCTGGCCTCAGTGACCAGGATGAGAAAAAAGCAAAGAGTCACAGAAATCCTGCACATTAAATTTATTAACTTATGTGTATGACGTTTTTTTTTTAAAAGCAGGCAAATGATTTAAGCCTGCAGGGAATACTGTGCATATAAAACAAGTGGTCTCAATGAAAGACTGGGAGAGATTGAAGTTTTGCAGAGGTGATGGCTGTAAGGCCAGCTGATGCTGGTCAGAGTGGGGGCCTTCTTAGTTATGAACCCAGGTCCAGAGCAGGTTGGTGTCTGGGGTCTTTCTTGTGACTATAGTGAAGAGACAAGACAGTCTAGATTTAAAGTTCACTTCTCTCTCCTTGTTCTCTTACTGCTAATATGAGAGATGCTGCAGCATCAGGGAAACCTTAAGAACAGAGATGATAAACACTGCATCTTTGTTGAGAGTTTATTATGTTCCTTTCTGATGAGAACTCGAATATGCTGACTTCAAGAACTAAATTTTCCCCACATAAAAAGTTGTCATATTCTATTGTGCTTTCTAGGAAGAGGCTGCCATGATGGATGGTCTTTCTGCTCTCCTAGACAGTAAGTTCTCTGAGCACAGAGATCCTGGAGTTTTTTATCACTGTGTCTCCCACAGTATCCAGGACACAATGAGCACCCATCATTAGTATGTGTGAATAAGCCTGACTCAGGTACTGGAGATACATAATACTATAGGCATTGAAGACCATCTACTTAGATATGGACTAATCTTGGAGGTAGTTCTTGACCTGGAGTCTTTCTCCCACATTTAAACCAATGAGAGCACAAGGGAGAAGGCACTAAAGCCTATTGATCAAACATCTACACCACACTTAGTTATTTCACTTTTCTCCTTTTACTTCCCAGGTTTTCACTAACATCAAGCAGTATAATTATAACTTAAGAGCTGGCTCTCTTTGGGGTGCAGAGGGAGGGAGAAGGGGATTAAGGGGTATTACGATCAGCACACATAATGTAGGGGGGTCACGGGGAAGGCAATGTAGCACAGAGAAGACTAGTAGTGACTCTACAGCATCTTACTATGCTGATGGACAGTGAGTGCAATGGGGCATGGGGGGGGGACTTCATAACATGGGTGAATACAGTAACCACAATGTTGCTCATGTGAAACCTTCATAAGATTGTATATCAATGATACCTTAAAAAAAAAAAAAGAACTGGGTCTCTTTGTGGAGCCATAAAGTGTATCTAAGGACAGTTATATGCTGCTGGAAGAAGGGGCCTCAATATGCTCTTTAATTTCCTTCTCGGGGGTCAGGCAGGTGGTCACCTTGGTTCCCATAATGAAGGGCTCTTGCAGCTTACACAGTGTTGCTAAGCAACATCACCAGATGGAGTTTGGCCAGTGCCTTTTGACAGGGGCTTGCTTAAAGTTGAAAAAGCCATTCCTAACTCTCAAGGCTCTTACCCATTTCCAAGGAAACAAAAAGTAAACACAGTAGGAGCTTTACTGAAGAGCCACCTCATTTCATAGGCATAAACACATTCTAAGACTATATACATTGCAAAGCCCAGATTCCTATAGACTTCTACATGCCATCTCATGTAAGAGATGACAGGCTAAGAAATGGAAACACAGACACACATACTCATCCCTTCCAGAATTAGAAAACATGGCGAACAGCTAGGTAGAATAAACAGGCTGAACTGATGACTCTGCTCTTATGAATGGCTATATCAGACTCTGCTAAATGTACTTACCAAGGATGGCAATGGGAGCCATACATAAGGAGGCTTCTCAGCCAAACTGGGACAGACTTCTTGACAAGATAGCATAGTACTGTTTTCTTTTCATTTTTTTTTTTAAACACACCTGAATTCCTGGGAAATAAGGTGTAATCTTACAGTTGTTAGACTTTGAGAATAAAAAGGTAAATGTTACAACACTGAGATCTGCCCCAAGGATAGAGAGAAAAAAGATGGTGAGCTACGGTTATACTGGCTTCCAGATGTGATTCCTTCTGGTTTGTCATCTTCCCCAAATTTGATCTTTTGGGTCTGGGGCCTAAAATCTTAAAAGACGTGGATGGGGTCTTCACACCTCTTTTGGCAGCAATAAGAATGAAGATGATACTCATAGTAGTGGGTGGGAAGCAGGAAATTTGCAATGGGGCCCAGTTGTGGCATTTACTAGCAAGTTCAAAACCACTACGACTGCTGAAAAGAACAGTTTTTACCATTTAGCAACCAAACTATACTTAAGTGCTGGATGGCAAAACATTTTTCATTTATGAAATGTTTCAAATGGGGAGAATCACGACAAAACAAAGAAACAGAACTCACTCTTACCTAGTCCCCACACCAGAACAAACATTTGTCCCTGCATGATAAAACATCTCTCAACTTTTCAGAACATAATAAACAACTTAAAAAATAGGTCTGCAAACGGTTTGCAAGAAGGATTACTTTCTGGATGTGGCTGGAGATACAACTACTTGTGCACTTCAGATAGTGGTCCCTGATAGGTACTAACAGCAGCGAAACTGATCCACACAGACCTCCTGATGACAGCAGATATGAGCAACGCTAGGAAGCAGGGAGACCCATAAATGAGTGCCTTTTTGCTCTAGTATTTTCTAGTACTTACATGCCCAGAGGCACCACAAGCACTCCTTTCATCCCTTTCTATCGAGATCTGATTAACTATGAAGGCTTGGGAAGAGGGTTTTTCCTTTCTTCCCTAGAAAGAAATGGAAGTGCAAAAGTGAAAGCACAGAGCTAAGTCGGGGAGTTCTTTAAGCCTGTGACTTCTTGTAGTCCTCAGTGTTAGTTCCATCTGTCAAATGTCTACTCTGGCACAGAAAAGCTATTTAAAGTATTGGTGCTATTGTGATTAGGGCAGATCAGCTGGAAAGGATGGTATTTTTAGCTCTCAGCTAGACCCAGGGTGTTGAATAAGAAGGCACTAAACCTGGAAACATTCATCTTAATAGAGCCTTCAATACTGGAAGGAAATGTAAAATGCTAAGGCACTCCAGGACTTGGAGTGAAGGCAAAGGAAAAGCTAGAAAGGATTAGTTGCAGGAAGTGGTCTTGTAAGATCGGCAGTGATTTAGTGTGGGAAAATGATGGTCTTGACTTCCTGAGAAAACAAGTGGCTGTTTCCCACTCTGCTCCCTGTGCTGCACCACCACAGAGCAGTGTGTCACTGGAAAACCGACTCACTGGTATCTGCAGCACCCAAGGCAGGGAGGAACTGGCGTGAAGCCATGGCAGAATTGATCAAAACTGAAATTGCTCCAGGCTACATCAGAGGACACAGCTCCACTGGAAGAAAGGCCAAACACCTCCTCTTTGGGAAGATCACAAACATACACCAAATGCAATAAGGGTTCAGAACTCCAATCTGGAAGCAGTGGTATCTTTTCTATTATATTGGCAGGTCAACTAAAACCCTCAGTGACCTTCCCCTTTTCTTTGAAAAAGGATGCCCCTTTCATATTGGATGTCTGAAACAAAACCTTTTTTCCAATTACTCTGGCCTTTCTCTGCTCTCTATAGGCCAGTGTTTCCCAGTTCATGTTCAAGGAACACTGGTGTCCATCAGATGTTCATAATAAATATTTTGTGATTTAAACTCCCATGGTCAAATAAATTCAGTTAACACTATTATTAAGAGATTTCCTTAATTTAGGACTTCCCAACATGCAAAGTGCAACTTTTAAGAGAGGCACACCACACACTGTTTTTTCAACTTTAACTGACCACAGACCCTTTTATTTTGAGGGGCAAGTGTTCTTAGGAGCATACTATAGGAACTGTTGCCACAGGAACAACTACCACAGGGGCGACTATAATGAAAGGCCTCGTTTCTTCCAAGCTGAGTACAGAGGCTGCTTCTCAAACAGGATACTCTGGTTCTCACCATACCACTGTGGAAAGTTGCCCAACCTCCCACATTCAGCAAATGAGGTTTGTGGTAATCAGCCAGTAAGTTTCAGAGAGAGGGACAGATAACACTGTTACCTACCTAGAATACAGCACAAAAAGCAGCTAAATGTGAGTATGATTTATTGTTAAAACACAGCAGAAACTGGTGCTGTTTGATGAATAGATAGGGTGAGAAACCTATACAAAGAATATGTTAGAAAGGCAGATATGTGGTACTCCTGAAGAAAATTAACTAGTTATTACAATGGAAATTATAGAGGACTATCTCCTCAAATCCCTCTTCAAGGGCTCATGAAAAGTCCTATAAGAAAAGATTCGTCTGAATACAGAGCATGAATGCATCAAAGAGCTCCCAAACACTCAAATGAGGAAGGTGGAATGAGAAGATGGCGAATTTTGTTGTTTTTTCGTCTCTCCTCCGCCGCCCCACCTCTCCCCCAGTGCTAGCACGAGCTGCAATGGGATGCCAGAACACTGAAAAGCCCTTGTAAGGACCCCCACAGGACCCCCACTGTATGATGAGGAAATTATGGATAAATGAAGACAGAAGAGGTACTGATTGGCAATTCTCCCTTTTTCAAACCCATAAAGCCTTGAACTACCCTCAAAAATGAGTAATCAGGACAAAAGCAGGACTCTGAACAGCTTAGGGCTCCTTCCACTGCTAAGGAACATCTCAGTGAAAGGAAGCGCAGGGGCAGATAGCTGCTACTGTTTCTCCTCTGTGGTAATTACCTCTGTGATGTCCCACTATGCTAATATAATTAACTACAAAAGGGTCTGCAGCTTTTTACTGATGATGAAAGAGGTTAGTTAGTTATTAGCATCATCATATAAAAGCTGACATGAGGCAAAAGAGAAAAAAGGTACCAAATGGGCCTGAGTCAACAAACACCAGATTCTAAATAAAAATCTCAGAAAGTCACCTTTCCTCCGAATCCAAAGTTTGATATAGAAGGAGGAATAGTTCTTTTTATTCCTGGGAGCATGCATATCCTCAAGGGCCATTTCAATTATTTGATGTTTATAGGATGTTCAAGTAACATGACTAACATATGTTGAACTACTGAAGAATGGGGAAGACGGATGCATTCTAGTTTGTTTCTTAACTCTGTTAGCCTGCAAGTAACCTATACTTACACCAAAATATCCCAAGTTTTGAAAGAGAAGTTTATAAAATAATGTTTCTACCGCATACTCAGTAGAAACCAGGTAGATGTATAAAGAAAAGGTAAGTAAAGATAAAGTTTTCAAATATCAATTTTGATTTACTAAGATGCAAATGAAACTTAGAGTCATTACTCACCAGCATTTAAATGACATTCCTTAATCTGAAACTGAAGTTCATTTTCATTGGGAATATCCTTCCATGTGGCAAGGAAGACCTGGCGCTCTGTATGGGAAGGCAGAGGGCAAGGAAGCAAATGAGCATCTGTCAGTATTCTCATTCCTGAATGCCTTGCACCATTTATTCCTTGGAGTGCGGGCTCTTGCAATACAGCCAGGAGTAGCCTGGGACCAGAGCCAATTCTTAGCTATGCAGAGATACTACACCCCATGTCAATTAATACCTCATCAGTAGCACTAAGATACACTAGAAAAGAATTTACATCTGTAGTTTAGTTTTCGTCCATTTTCTATTTGGTGACTTTGAGTTAAGTTTTGTGAGCTCTCTGATTCTTAATTTCATCATATATAATTTATACCTGTCCTGCCTACCCAAAGAGCCGCTGTTAGGAATCAAATCAATTAAGTGCCAATACAATTTAGTATGTACCAATATAAGCTAGTTTAATTAGATGGTGGTTTCATAAATAAGGGAAGAGAGTATACTTAAGTGCTGGATGGCAAAACATTTTTCATTTATGAAATGTTTCAAATGGGGAGAATCACGACAAAACAAAGAAACAGAACTCACTCTTACCTAGTCCCCACACCAGAACAAACATTTGTCCCTGCATGATAAAACATCTCTCAACTTTTCAGAACATAATAAACAACTTAAAAAATAGGTCTGCAAACGGTTTGCAAGAAGGATTACTTTCTGGATGTGGCTGGAGATACAACTACTTGTGCACTTCAGATAGTGGTCCCTGATAGGTACTAACAGCAGCGAAACTGATCCACACAGACCTCCTGATGACAGCAGATATGAGCAACGCTAGGAAGCAGGGAGACCCATAAATGAGTGCCTTTTTGCTCTAGTATTTTCTAGTACTTACATGCCCAGAGGCACCACAAGCACTCCTTTCATCCCTTTCTATCGAGATCTGATTAACTATGAAGGCTTGGGAAGAGGGTTTTTCCTTTCTTCCCTAGAAAGAAATGGAAGTGCAAAAGTGAAAGCACAGAGCTAAGTCGGGGAGTTCTTTAAGCCTGTGACTTCTTGTAGTCCTCAGTGTTAGTTCCATCTGTCAAATGTCTACTCTGGCACAGAAAAGCTATTTAAAGTATTGGTGCTATTGTGATTAGGGCAGATCAGCTGGAAAGGATGGTATTTTTAGCTCTCAGCTAGACCCAGGGTGTTGAATAAGAAGGCACTAAACCTGGAAACATTCATCTTAATAGAGCCTTCAATACTGGAAGGAAATGTAAAATGCTAAGGCACTCCAGGACTTGGAGTGAAGGCAAAGGAAAAGCTAGAAAGGATTAGTTGCAGGAAGTGGTCTTGTAAGATCGGCAGTGATTTAGTGTGGGAAAATGATGGTCTTGACTTCCTGAGAAAACAAGTGGCTGTTTCCCACTCTGCTCCCTGTGCTGCACCACCACAGAGCAGTGTGTCACTGGAAAACCGACTCACTGGTATCTGCAGCACCCAAGGCAGGGAGGAACTGGCGTGAAGCCATGGCAGAATTGATCAAAACTGAAATTGCTCCAGGCTACATCAGAGGACACAGCTCCACTGGAAGAAAGGCCAAACACCTCCTCTTTGGGAAGATCACAAACATACACCAAATGCAATAAGGGTTCAGAACTCCAATCTGGAAGCAGTGGTATCTTTTCTATTATATTGGCAGGTCAACTAAAACCCTCAGTGACCTTCCCCTTTTCTTTGAAAAAGGATGCCCCTTTCATATTGGATGTCTGAAACAAAACCTTTTTTCCAATTACTCTGGCCTTTCTCTGCTCTCTATAGGCCAGTGTTTCCCAGTTCATGTTCAAGGAACACTGGTGTCCATCAGATGTTCATAATAAATATTTTGTGATTTAAACTCCCATGGTCAAATAAATTCAGTTAACACTATTATTAAGAGATTTCCTTAATTTAGGACTTCCCAACATGCAAAGTGCAACTTTTAAGAGAGGCACACCACACACTGTTTTTTCAACTTTAACTGACCACAGACCCTTTTATTTTGAGGGGCAAGTGTTCTTAGGAGCATACTATAGGAACTGTTGCCACAGGAACAACTACCACAGGGGCGACTATAATGAAAGGCCTCGTTTCTTCCAAGCTGAGTACAGAGGCTGCTTCTCAAACAGGATACTCTGGTTCTCACCATACCACTGTGGAAAGTTGCCCAACCTCCCACATTCAGCAAATGAGGTTTGTGGTAATCAGCCAGTAAGTTTCAGAGAGAGGGACAGATAACACTGTTACCTACCTAGAATACAGCACAAAAAGCAGCTAAATGTGAGTATGATTTATTGTTAAAACACAGCAGAAACTGGTGCTGTTTGATGAATAGATAGGGTGAGAAACCTATACAAAGAATATGTTAGAAAGGCAGATATGTGGTACTCCTGAAGAAAATTAACTAGTTATTACAATGGAAATTATAGAGGACTATCTCCTCAAATCCCTCTTCAAGGGCTCATGAAAAGTCCTATAAGAAAAGATTCGTCTGAATACAGAGCATGAATGCATCAAAGAGCTCCCAAACACTCAAATGAGGAAGGTGGAATGAGAAGATGGCGAATTTTGTTGTTTTTTCGTCTCTCCTCCGCCGCCCCACCTCTCCCCCAGTGCTAGCACGAGCTGCAATGGGATGCCAGAACACTGAAAAGCCCTTGTAAGGACCCCCACAGGACCCCCACTGTATGATGAGGAAATTATGGATAAATGAAGACAGAAGAGGTACTGATTGGCAATTCTCCCTTTTTCAAACCCATAAAGCCTTGAACTACCCTCAAAAATGAGTAATCAGGACAAAAGCAGGACTCTGAACAGCTTAGGGCTCCTTCCACTGCTAAGGAACATCTCAGTGAAAGGAAGCGCAGGGGCAGATAGCTGCTACTGTTTCTCCTCTGTGGTAATTACCTCTGTGATGTCCCACTATGCTAATATAATTAACTACAAAAGGGTCTGCAGCTTTTTACTGATGATGAAAGAGGTTAGTTAGTTATTAGCATCATCATATAAAAGCTGACATGAGGCAAAAGAGAAAAAAGGTACCAAATGGGCCTGAGTCAACAAACACCAGATTCTAAATAAAAATCTCAGAAAGTCACCTTTCCTCCGAATCCAAAGTTTGATATAGAAGGAGGAATAGTTCTTTTTATTCCTGGGAGCATGCATATCCTCAAGGGCCATTTCAATTATTTGATGTTTATAGGATGTTCAAGTAACATGACTAACATATGTTGAACTACTGAAGAATGGGGAAGACGGATGCATTCTAGTTTGTTTCTTAACTCTGTTAGCCTGCAAGTAACCTATACTTACACCAAAATATCCCAAGTTTTGAAAGAGAAGTTTATAAAATAATGTTTCTACCGCATACTCAGTAGAAACCAGGTAGATGTATAAAGAAAAGGTAAGTAAAGATAAAGTTTTCAAATATCAATTTTGATTTACTAAGATGCAAATGAAACTTAGAGTCATTACTCACCAGCATTTAAATGACATTCCTTAATCTGAAACTGAAGTTCATTTTCATTGGGAATATCCTTCCATGTGGCAAGGAAGACCTGGCGCTCTGTATGGGAAGGCAGAGGGCAAGGAAGCAAATGAGCATCTGTCAGTATTCTCATTCCTGAATGCCTTGCACCATTTATTCCTTGGAGTGCGGGCTCTTGCAATACAGCCAGGAGTAGCCTGGGACCAGAGCCAATTCTTAGCTATGCAGAGATACTACACCCCATGTCAATTAATACCTCATCAGTAGCACTAAGATACACTAGAAAAGAATTTACATCTGTAGTTTAGTTTTCGTCCATTTTCTATTTGGTGACTTTGAGTTAAGTTTTGTGAGCTCTCTGATTCTTAATTTCATCATATATAATTTATACCTGTCCTGCCTACCCAAAGAGCCGCTGTTAGGAATCAAATCAATTAAGTGCCAATACAATTTAGTATGTACCAATATAAGCTAGTTTAATTAGATGGTGGTTTCATAAATAAGGGAAGAGAGAAATGTCAAAAACCATATAGGGAGCACTAATGGTTTATTACAAATTATTAAATTCTTGAGACCGAAGAATTTAGTATAGGACTAAGTGCTAAATTTGCATGTATTATTTCATTAAGTTATTATAAAATCTATTTTTGCCTTGCAAACTTGGAAACTGAAACTCAGAAAAGTTAAGCACCTTGTCACTTCTCACACAAAAATCCAGCCATGCTGAGATTCAAATCACATGTACTTTTCATGAAACCACTTACTCTGTATACCGGGGTGACTGGATTGTTCAGATAATTGGCATTGTGGTTTAGAGACCAACAGCAAAGCAAGACCAATTATGACTCAGGCAAATAAATAATTAGAAATTACTAGAGCTTTAGAATAGCCTTACCTCATTTTTTTAAAATCTCAAAATAACTTCGGGCTATGCTCTGCCTGACATTCAGGGGAAGGGCAAAGATATCTGGCAGAAGGACAGGAGGACATACCCATTTTGCCATCTTCTACAAAAAGCACATTGAGTGGGATGAGGCAGCTAAAGTAGAAGACATCAATATTGTTTTTCACAGCCACCTGCCAGGAAAGCACCAAGGGAAAATTAGGACATCAGAGGAAGCCAGGCAGGAGGGAAAGAACAGTTATGGGTCTAGAAATACACGCCCTATGTCCTCCTTCTTTTAGACAGAGCACGACTTTCCAAATCCAGGCATATCAGCCCATACACTGCAAAGCACAACCTTTACTCATTCCACTGTCAGAGCTCTGTGACAACACACCAACTCTCCCTCTAGAAGGAGCCTCTAGAAGAGGGATGAATTCAAGACACAAGTTCTGTACCCAGAATAGTCTATTCAGTTATTTTTTTTGTTTCTGTGGTTATTAATAGTAGCTGCTGCCACTACTAAGTAATTAATGACATCACTTCTAATCCTCATTATTACTGTTTCAAAGTAAATGTCATTCATTTTCATTTTACAGATCAACTGAGGTTCAGCAAGATAAAATAACATTAATGGTACACAGAAGAACAAGGATAAAATGCAAATTTGTCTGACCCCACACCTGGATTTTTTTTTTTTGTCTCTCCACAAGAAATGGTGCCATATGCCCTCATCTTTTTTTAGATACTGGTTTTAAAGTCGTTCCTTTTATAAAATCTTATTTCCTAAGTACTACGGTTGGAAAAAGCTCCTTGGGTCAAACATTGATAAATCTGATGACTGTATGAAGGGAAAACCTTTGAGTGAGTGAAAAGAGTTTTCTTCTCACAATATAAGCTGATTTATTTGGGTTGTGATTCTACCATGGGCATTCAATTCAGAGCATAAATTTTATATTTTTAAAAAAGTTACAGTAAGTGCTTTTATTCAAGGGCAACCCTGGATTGGCATATATATGCAGAAATAGGCAGATTCCACTGTGGCAGATTAAAAGAACCATATACTGTAAGAAGGGAGAGTAGGTGGGGAATTGCTCTAAATCACCCTTTCTCACTGGTTTCTGTCACTAGTGGCCCTATCTATATTCTTAGCACGGCAGGAAAACAATTCTCTGGTCAAATTCTGTAATTAGCAAGCATGCCTATTTCTCTTTCATTTTCTTCTAAGAAAATAATAGGGGAAAGTGCTTATCTAGCACCACTATCTGCACCCCCCTTTTGCGGGGGCCAATGTCCACACTTTAATAGCTTATCTGTCTTTTCAAAAAAATTTTGGCTATGAGATCCAAGTATCCTTTTTCTGAAATATTTCCAGTTCTTTTACAGTTACTACCAACTCATCTTTCCCACCTTAAATAGTATCTTTATTTCCTCCCCCATAATTTGGTTGTATCTACTTGACAGTCTTTCTGTTCTCTCTTCCAGAAGGATCCATCAAGTTATTTTCCATGTAACGTGTGCTTTTAACCCCTCAATTACCAACCTCCTAGGAGTTACAACATATATCACATAATCTGATGCCAAAAATACTGAGACAGTGGAATTCTCAAAAAGCTTGAGTCTGGTGAATGTAAGCAGAGTAACCTCAGGAAAGAGACCTTAGACATCCTTTAGATGTACTGGAGCACCACTTCAAAAGACTTATACCAGCTGTGGGCTTCTAGGAACAAGGAATTTTCTAATTTAGTTGGTACTCAACAATAAGAGGAGAACTCTCACTTCAAATAAGGGCACCAAGAAAATCCTGAGGTAGTGCGAAGCTCTATAAAGGGCATTTAGAAGTGAAAACTGGGGTGAAGAGGTAGGCTACTGTGGGTTATATAAAGGTCTTACATGAAATGTGAGTGATTATCATTACTTTGAATATAAAGCAGTCATAATTCACAATGTGACATTCAAATGTTTGTTTACTGTGTCCCAAGCATCTGAGATATAAGAATAATACAGAAATACAATCTTCATCCTCCAGTGGATAATACTAGTGGTTCTTAACCAAAGACTTACATTAGAATTATCTGGAGAGATTTTTCAAAGCAGATGCTAAGTCTCTATCCTATATAAAATAACAATCTCTAAATATAGGGCCTGGAGTGTGTAATTGGAATAAGTTCCTAGGAAGATCAACCAGATAAGCAATTAATTTAGAAAAATGTTACTTAAGAAGTCTGAATGGGCTTGTAAATACCTTGTTCTTCTGAGGGAATCATTATTCTAATTGGAGCCATTTAACAGTGGAAAAGACCTGAGAAACTCCTCTAGGTCAGCAGAGCTAAACCATTCTGCCTTGAGGTTCCTTTTGACAGACATATGAAAGCCACAGACCCTCTTCATGAAAAATGTACATACAACATTTTGACATACAGTTTCAAGGGTTTCCAGACACCCTGAAGACTATCCCTGGACTTCTGTTATAGAATAATTCTGAGAAGCTAGGGCACTCAAATCAGAGGCAGCAGACACAGTGGTTCAGAAGATGGACTTGGGAACCAGACCAGAACACCTGGTTTCAGATTTTGACTCCATCACTTGGCTAGCTGTGTGACTTTGGGCAAGCACTATTCAGCTCAGTTTCCAGTCTATAGAACAAAAGTATGGGTTGTTATGAGGCTAATGAGTCAATATTTGCAAAGCATTTATAATGGTGCCTGGCTACAGAAGTAATATAACAAGTGTTTGTTAAAAGAAAAATTCCCTCTTGTTTCACCATTGTCTGTTCTCCTTTTTTACTCAGAATTTTTTTGTAATTAAGGATAATATTAGACTTATCTGAAATCTTACACATGCTCAAATGCACTACCACTACTATGGTAAAAAGTGATCAGAGATTTAAAAAAAAGGCTTATTAACAAACTGTTAGCATAATGGTTCTTGCTATTGTGCTCTTGACAAAATATCTCTTTATAGGATCAAGTGCACAGGTCACTCTTTGGGTCATTTCTTTTATGTTAGCTTTCCAAATCTCCATTTTTCAGGTCTCAAACTTTTAATCTTGGCTAGAACTACGTTCATTTAAAAAATAATGGTTCTCTTGAATCTGGCCCCTGTCTACCTCTGCATAGCCTATTTCCTTAACTTCAACCATATCAAAATTACTTCCTGTTCCCCAAACACTGAAACTCACAGCTCTGTAGCTTGTTACATGTTGTTCTTCCTGCTTAATATATTCTTCTCCTGAAGGTTTAGCTGTCTGGGAATTACCTATTTAATTGCAGATTCAGTTTAAGCTTGCGATTTTTCAGGGAAGCTCTAATCTCTCCCCATGACACCAAGGGCATATATTTCTACTGTAGCATAAAACAATTGTTTGTTTATATCTGCCTCAAAATCCAATGAACTCCTTGAGTGCAGGGGCTCTCATTTTCACTAGCATACTAGTGGCTCAATAAATATTTGTTGCATGAATCAAGGCAAAGATGCTGAGGAAATAAAATGAAAACACTAATTTCTCAAACTTTTTCTACCTCTATATTAGTCACATGTACTAACATAATCCCATCAGTAACATCTCTTATTAGGCACAATGATAATGAGAAGGTATGGGGGGATGGGATGATATGTGGGCTCTTCTTTTCATTATCAGTGAGCTAGAAATAGTATCTACATGCTAAGGGAGAAACATAGGTTGTAGATCACAACTCAAACAATACTAGATTCCCCAAGGATATTCCAATCACTCTTCAGGAGTTCAGGCAAAAAATAATCAAGGGAAATGCACAGTATGATGCCAGTTCAATTCAAATCTAGATGGCAGCTACTTGTAAATAGAAGAGTCAATCTTGAAGCCTACAGTATGGATTATTTTAGAGGGAGGAAGACGAGTTTCTGGTTGTCTTATTTTGAAATTCACTATCCCAAGAGGTATAGAATAGGAAGACATAATCCAGACAAGCTGGAGAACTATTTTCCAAGAGCTTTAACATGAACACACAGCTTGCCAATGGGAAATCAATTATACATATTTCTCCAGCTGCCTACTTAGTATCTTCACTTGGATAACTAATATCTCAAAATGAACATGTCTAAAACCAAATTCTTGATCTACCCTCATCATCCCTAAACAGAACCTCCTCCTATCTTTCCAAACTCAGTAAATGTAATACAGCAAAGTCCTTTTTAAAAACAGTCTCCCTGTTTCTGCACTTGTCTCCCCTACCCCCAATGCCTAGCTTCCCTGTCTATTCTCAACACAGCAGCCTGAGTGATCTTAAAATGTAGTTCAGCTCATAAACACTTCTCTGCTCAAACCCCCACTGACTTCCCATCTCAGAATAAAAACCTTAAATTACAATTGCCTATAATCTGATGCCTATTATCTTTTCTGATGTTAGGTGCTATGACTCTCTCCCTGCTAGCTCCATGTCAGCCACAGGAACCTGCTGTTGTTCCATACACATACCAGACCTGCTCCTAGCACATGGCTTTCTTTTTTTTAAGTGTTAAATATTTATTTTAATGTACATTAGATAATCTTTTATTAAGGTACCATTGATATTCAGTCTTACGAAGGTTTCACATGAGCAACACTGTGGTTACTACATTCACCCATATTATCTAGTCACCCCACCCTCATTCCATTGCAGTCACTGTCCATCAGTGTAGTAAGATGCTATAGAGACACTACTTGTCTTTTCTGTGCTATACTGCCTTCCCTGTGCCCCTACTATATTGTGTGCTAATCATAATGCCCCTTAACCCCTTTCTCCCCACCCCCTTCCCTTTGATAACCACTAGTCCTTTCTTGAAGTCTTTTGAGTCTGCTGCTGTTTTGTTACTTCAGTTTTTGCTTTGTTGTTATACTCCACAAATGAGTGAAACCATTTTGTACTTGTCTTTCTCTGCCTGACTTATTTCACTGAGCATAATACCCTTTAGCTCCATCCATGTTGTTGCAAATGGTAGGATTTGTTTTCTTCTTATGGTT